AGAGAGAGAGAGAGAGAGAGAGAGAGAGAGAGAGAGAGAGAGAGAGAGAGAGAGAGAGAGAGAGAGAGAGAGAGAGAGAGAGATGGGGGGGGTGCCACTGTCATTCTTGGAAAGTGAACTCAGACTGGGGGTGTTCAAGCTCACATTCCATTTTTAATTACCTTTTCCTTCTCCTTCTTTTTTTTTTTTTTGGTTTTTTTGTTTGAGAACTACGCTATTGTAATATTAAATATTATTCTCCGTACACACCTCGAACAGAAAGGGCTTGCTCTAGTACCATGGTGCAAGCTCTGCAGCACTGTCTTTCCATCAAGAAAATGCCCGGAGACCATACTAGCTTCCATCAAGTGGGATGGCGGCCAAGCTCAGGAATGCGAAGAAGGCAACCAGGATGGCAACCGGGAGCCGATCAAAAAAGACTATCAGATCTGTTTCAGAGATTGGACAATGGTGGGCCAAGAGGTTCCGTTACGGCCACCATCGGATTTTCCCGATCCCCTTCCACCCCATCAGCTGGCTGTGGGGGACATGCAATGGTATGGAGCGGAGTAAGCCGGACTGCAACAGGTTATATGCAGGGGCGCCAGCATCAGACGTTCCCAGCTCCCCTCCATCCTTTTTCACATTCTCATTTGGAGGAAGGAACCAGTTTGTAGCAGCAGAGATCGGGCGCCTGGCATGGGGCGAAGAGGTTCCTGTCCCGATACAACCTGCTCAGTTAATCCTCTGGAGCCCAGAGCAATCAATGCTGGCAGGGTTTTCTCTACTTCAGTCTGTATTTTCACTCTGTATATGGGATGCTGGACCCGCTTTCCAGCAGGTGATGCTCCCCACCAAAAGATGGAGCCTCTCCCCGGTGCTAGCGGTGTTTGCTCTTACCAGCACCTCTAGCACTGGAGGGGGTTGTTTTGGGGGGAAAAAAAAAAGCACATCTTCCTCCGGTGCCCAGGCTCAGTACGGCTATGGAGGTGGTGGGATTGGATCTGGCGCCAGATAGGCACCTGCACGCAATGGCCCTGGGACTGGAAAGCACTGCTTTGTGAGACCTGGCAACCAGACCTACTGAGTGACGACGAACACAACATGTACAAAGTAGGGAGAAGAGCAGTTATGTGGGCCATTTGGTGGCGGTGGTGCACAATGGAAAATTGGAAATGGAAGGGAGTCGACAGGATGGACCAGTATTAACAGACTCAATCAAACAACACATTCAGACAGAGATAACAATACAATCATGGGACTTAATCAAAGAAAAGCTAACATTCAGCAACACCAAAAAGGAAATCCAAAGAATCGTCAAAACTTTCAGCAAGGATTGGCTGGGGGGAGGAAGAAGGGCGCAGAATGGCAACAAGGGCATGGAAAGGGGGGAATGGGGTAAAGCTGGAGGGTAGGGAGGAACAGGAGCTGATAGTTAGGGATTACACCCTCTCTTTCCAAGACTGGACACACTCATACCCGGCTGTCCCACTGAGACCCCTCTCAGACTTCCGGACCTCTTCCTTCCCCCTGAACTTTCTATAGTGGGACTATCTTGGTACGGGAGAGAATGAAGGAAAAGCTGCTAGTACAATAGAGCTAAATCTGGCATCTCCGGGAAGATTGAAGAGGCAGAACTTCAACCGCCGTGCCGGCCGTGCAGGGCGACAGGCGATACTGATAACCCAAGGCTCATATTGTACACTGCACAGGCCTGCTCAGTCAATCCCCTGGGTCCCAGGGCAATCAATGCTGGCAGGACCCACGGCTACTTTTCTCAGATATTCTCAGTACTTGTTGTATGTGGGATGCTGGACCCGCTTTCCAGCAGGTGAAGCTCCCCACCAATAGATGGAGTCTCTCGCAGGGGCTAGGGCCCCGGGGTTGATTGCTCTTATCAACACCCCTACCMCCCCAAGGGATGTTGGGGGGGGGGGGGGAACACAAAAAAACTATATTCTTCTCTCACTTTTCCTTCTTTTTGTCACGCCGTTCTCAGGCAATTGTAATATTATTAAAAAGATCCTCCTGGCTCCGGAATTCCTTTTATATGCTACATTAGGAAAGCAGTATCGGACTTGGGCACTGGGCCCGTATTTAAAAAAAAAAAAAAAAGGAAAGCAGTATCGGACTCCTAATAGGGTACAATGATGCTCTGAACATCCCATTGCATAATTCTTTCCACTTTTGTCAAAGAGAGTTTAATAAAAGAAGACCTGGGGTTAAATAAAAAAAGGAGTCCATACACTTCATCAGTTTGTCTCATTAGATTTCTGCTTTAACACTCTCAGGGCCTCTCACACACACACACACACACACACACACA